TCCCCCAATAGAGGTGTATAAACCATATTTGTTCCATTAGAAGCACAGCCCAAATAGAGGTGTATGTACCATATTTGCTCTGTTAGAAGCACATCCCAATAGAGGTGTATAAACCATATTTGTTCCATTAGAAGCACAGCCCAAATAGAGGTGTATAAACCATATTTGCTCTATTAGAAGCACATCCCCCAATAGAGGTGTATAAACCATATTTGTTCCATTAGAAGCACAGCCCAAATAGAGGTGTATGTACCATATTTGCTCTATTAGAAGCACATCCCCAATAGAGGTGTATAAACCATATTTGTTCCATTAGAAGCACATCCCCCAATAGAGGTGTATAAACCATATTTGTTCCATTAGAAGCACATACCAATATAGGTGCATATACTATATTTGCTCTATTAGAAGCACATCCCCAATAGAGGTGTATAAACCATATTTGTTCCATTAGAAGCACATACCAATATAGGTGTATATACTATATTTGCTCTATTAGAAGCACATCCCCAATAGAGGTGTATAAACCATATTTGTTCCATTAGAAGCACATCCCCCAATAGAGGTGTATAAACCATATTTGTTCCATTAGAAGCACATCCCAATATAGGTGTTTGTACCATATTTGTTCTATTAGAAGCACATACCAATAGAATTGTATGTACCATATTTGTTCCATTAGAAGCACAGCCCCAATAGAGGTGTACGTACCATATTTGCTCTGTTAGAAGCACACCCCAATAGAGGTGTATGTACCATATTTGTTCTATTAGAAGCACAGCCCCAATAGAAGTGTATGTACCATATTTGCTCTATTAGAAGTGCATCACCAATATAGGTGTTTGTATCATATTTGTTCTATTAGAAGCACATCCCCAATAGAGATGTATGTACCATATTTGTTCTATTAGAGGCACATCCCCAACAGATGTGTATGTACCATATTTGCTCTATTAGAAGCACATCCCCAATAGAGGTGTTTGTACCATATTTGTTCTATTAGAAGCACAGCCCCAATAGAAGTGTATGTACCATATTTGCTCTATTAGAAGCACATCCCCGATAGAGGTGTTTGTACCATATTTGTTCTATTAGAAGCACATCCCCAATAGAGATGTATGTACCATATTTGTTCTATTAGAGGTACATCCCCAACAGTTGTGTATGTACCATATTTGCTCTATTAAAGCACACCCCCAATAGAGGTGTATGTACCATATTTGTTCTATTAGAAGCACAGCCCCAATAGAAGTGTATGTACCATATTTGCTCTATTAGAAGCACATCCCCGATAGAGGTGTTTGTACCATATTTGTTCTATTAGAAGCACATCCCCAATAGAGATGTATGTACCATATTTGTTCTATTAGAGGTACATCCCCAACAGTTGTGTATGTACCATATTTGTTCTATTAAAGCACATCCCCAATAGAGGTGTATGTACCATATTTGTTCTATTATAAGCGTATCCCCAACAGAGGTGTATGTATGATATTTGTTCTATTAGAAGCACATCCCAATAGAGGTGTATGTACTATATTAGCTCTATTAGAAGCACATTTCCAATAGAGATGTATGTACCATATTTGTTCTATTAGAAGCACATCCACAACAGATGTGTATGTACGATATTTTTGTTCTATTAGAAGCACATCCCCAATAGAGGTGTATGTACCATATTTGTTCTATTAGAAGCCCATCCCAATAGAGGTGTATGTACTATATTAGCTCTATTAGAAGCACATTTCCAATAGAGATGTATGTACCATATTTTTTCTATTAGAAGCACATCCACAACAGATGTGTATGTACCATATTTGTTCTATTAGAAGCGCATCCCCAACAGAGGTGTATGTACCATATTTGTTCTATTAGAAGCACATCCCCAATAGAATTGTATGTACCATATTTGCTCTATTAGAAGCACATCCCCAATAGAATTGTATGTACCATATTTGTTCTATTATAAGCGCATCCCCAACAGAGGTGTATGTATGATATTTGTTCCATTAGAAGCACATCACCAATAGAGGTGTATGTACCATATTTGTTCTATTAGAGGCGCATCCCCAACAGAGGTGTATGTACGATATTTTTGTTCTATTAGAAGCACATCTCCGATAGAGTTGTATAAACCATATTTGTTCCATTAGAAGCACATCCCCCAATAGAGATGTATAAACCATATTTGTTCCATTAGAAGCACAGCCCAAATAGGTGTATGTACCATATTTGCTCTATTAGAAGCACATCTCCAATAGAGGTGTATGTACCATATTTGCTCTGTTAGAAGCACATCCCAATAGAGGTGTATAAACCATATTTGTTCCATTAGAAGCACATCCCCAATAGAGGTGTATGTACCATATTTGTTCTATTAGAAGCACATCCCCAACAGATGTGTATGTACGATATTTGTTCTATTAGAAGCCCATCCCAATAGAGGTGCATATACTATATTAGCTCTATTAGAAGCACATTTCCGATAGAGATGTATGTACCATAGTATATTCTGTAGTTCCATTTGTCGGCAAATTTTGTTATTGAAAGTATTTCCACACATTGTCCTGGGGCATAGTTTTATCATTATGGTTATTTAAACCCTGGCTAGAATAACATGTCATTCATATTTGTTTGATATGTTCTGTGTGCAAACTTCTTACCACTTCTACTTACTTTTTTGTTTTTATTAACATCAGTTGAAATTTCACTTCTCTTTTTTTTTTTCATTCATTTGCTATTTATTTTGATGTATGTCAAATGTCAGGAATAATTTTGGAGAAAATTACGAACATGAAACTGAGCCAAAAATGTTTAATAGCTTGTTACAGTAAAGACTGGGCTGAACATTGGCAGTGTTTAGAAAAAAAAATTAGTTGTAGCCTCAAAATGATATCCAGAAAAATAATTTATTTTCTGAAAGTCTTCTGTGCTTCTTGAAATCCAGGCCAGATTATTATTTTGATTTTTGGGATGCAGCGTGTTAGGCCAATGTAAGATCAACTGCTGACAGACAGGCCTATATGTTCATGATACTCACCATTCAGCAACTGAGCATAGAATTGAGGTTCTATCGCACCGACTGCCATGTGTTTATTATCTTTTGTTCTATACGTCTCATAAAAAGGTGCACCGGTATCTAGTAGATTTTGGCCTCTCTCGTTGCTTGGCCATATCGCAAAAGTATTCTTTCCTTGAAATATCCAGCTTCCTATGTAGGCACAGCCATCTACCTTCGAGTGATGACATATAAAATCAATGAATACACTATATTGCAGTTGATATGCTACACTTGGGAGTTAACATCAGGAATGGTGAATTTCACTATGTTTTATTGCACATACGGGTAAACAAGCTGAACATTTATGTGGAAGTTAAACATTCTCGATAAGCTTTTAAACATGTTACTATAACAACCTGTAGATCATCTGAAAGTTTAGGTATTGGCTAATGTGTACAGTTAAAATAAAAGTGAAATGTACAAAATCTACTGTCTATTAAAATTATTTATTAATCATATTTTTAATTTCACTTAGAATATATTTTGAATAGCCATAAAAATGGGGAGAGCAGTGATCGTTTTTATGGTTAGAGCTTGGAATACATCCCACATTTTTATTAGTCCCCGTTCGGACGCAGTCCGAAAACGGGGACTTATGTTTTGCCCTGTGTGCGTCCGTGCGTCCGTGCGTCCGTGATCACCTGTATCTCGAACATGCATGGACCGATTGAGTTCAAACTTCACTCATACATCACACATTATATGGGACATATGCACATGCATTTTTTTCATGATCCGATTAACGATAGCCGAATAGCGGCCATTTTAAGGCCGAAAATGCATCAAAATCGCACATTTTCACCATTCCGGACCCGGATCTCAGTTATGCATGGACGGATTTTGTTCAAATTTGGTACATACATTAAACATAATAGGACCTTGATGCACGTCATTTTTTTTTTGGGATCGGGTTCGAAATGGCCGACTGGCGGCCATTTTGTTTTAAAGAATTCAGTTCTGGATCCGTATCTGAGACATGCTTGGATTGATCGAGTTCAAACTTCACACACACAAGGTACATCATGTCACAAATATGTATGTGCATTTGTTTCATGATCTCATTAACGATAGCCAAATGGCGGCCGCTTTAAGGCCGAAAATGCATTGA